TTTCTACAGGCTTATTGAAATTTATATTTTGTACCTCTTTAAAATACCTTGCCAAAGTGGTAACCATGATGGGGTCACCGATTTATTTTAACGCTAACGCTACCAGACCGAAACATGTCGTAAGAAGTAAGTATTTGAAATATTCGACAGTGGTGAGTAGTAGAGCTCCTTGCTTCTTCTTATTCTTATTTATTAGTGGCTTGTTCAGTCTTTCACAATTCCGCCAAGATCACGTAGGTAGCTTCTACACGGGAGGAGGTAGATTGATTTTCATTACTACTGTCTGTGAGACTTGAAGCAGGGTTATCTAAAACAGAGCACACATTTGCAAGAGCTCCTTACGAAAGAGGTCTTAGAAGTACAGGCACCATATCTATTTCTGCTGCCAAACGCTAATGTCTGCATTATTTCTTTTTTGTTATGAAGTGACGGGACGATCAAGTAGTGCGCCTAGTGTTAAATGACATATCTTTCCATAGCAGTGACAGTGCCACTCAGAGCTTTAAATCGCAAAGATCTGAGGGGCATTGCCACTGCGCCCATCACCTTGAGACATAAGTTGACAAGTCTCATGTGCTTGTAATTTCACCAGCACCATTACCCTTCAAAAGCGAAATGCAGCAATGCTCATTAATATGAAAATTATATGATTCATATGAAGATGCTACCAAGCAGTAATCTGCTTGGTGGCAGAAATAGGTAAGGTTTGCAGTAGGCAGGCAGTCTTCCCTGGATGAACTTTTTCACAAGAAGCTTTCCTGCTACTATTCGTTCTACAGCGTTTCGATGTTGAGGGTGAAGGATGCTAGTGAGTTTACAGGCACATTACAACACTTGTCAATTTGTATGTCTCAAGGCGCAGTGTATAGTAGTGTGTAGTACTCTCAGATCTTTATGACTTAAAGCTTTGAGGGGCACGGCAACTGTTATGGATAGTTGCTTACCACCAGGCCCAGGACTTGCTCATCCGGTCACTTGATATCATACGAAAAAAATACAGTTGGTCCTATGCAATGTCGCGTAATTTTAAAGAATTATTGCACCTGGCGTTTTGGTGTTAGTATTTGACTTTTGATGTCACTGTTCGTGATCTCGGTAGAAGAGTTTAGTTCTCTAAATATGCCGTAAAAGTAACGAGAAAGGTCACTCTCCACCCCTCCCTAGTTTTAGGTACTACACCGCGCCCATGATATTGATGATCACATTGACGGAACGGCAACAAGGCTGTCAGCGAGCCGTTCGCTAAGGACGATATTGATGTTCACAGTTTAATGTTAATTTTTTTATTACCAACATACTTTACTCTATGATGGTCGTGAATAGTGCCACGTACAGCTATTTTTTCTTCTAAGTGGGATAAAGAGATTTCTTTCGAATTTTCAATGTAATGCTATTTCATAATAAATTATTTAGAGATAAGTCATTTCAAAGAAAATAATTTAGTGTTGTAACTAATGGTAGTGGATTCACTTATTAGTGTTGTTTTTTATTTAAGCTGCTTCTATGATTTTATTTAACTTATCTGGTGTAAATTACTGCTCCTTTAGTATTTAATAAATAAAGTCATTAGTATAGGTACATAATGATCATATTTATATAATACAATACATTCGCTTTGCTCTTACAAAGTTACAGTGCACGCTAGAGTAGAGAATAAATTGTACAAGAAAGTGATGGATAACTCTACCATTTCACGCACACATTTGCGCGCGTGCAGACAGCACCTTGCTTATCGTAGTAGTAGTAGCAGGTAAATAAGTTTCTACCCTTTTATGGAATGTCTGGGGTATGAGCAAAGTTACTGTTGTGACCGGGGGTTTGAGTAATAATGATATAAAGTACGCTCGGTGCACATGAATTTATTGTAGAAGTATAACAGGAAAAAGGTGAAGAAAAGAAGAAAGAAAGGACGGGCTTTAAAGAAACAGGTAGGTATAACAACAGGTACAACAAAAACACTAGTATAAAAACTGCTACTATAATATACAAAAAACACTTCCTGCAGATTAGAACTTATTAGTTTATTATTTTATGATTAGCGAAATTATCCAAAAGGGCTTGTATTCGTATTGTTGCTGGTTTATAAGAAGTTAGGATACATGATTAAGAGCACGTCTGCTCGCCTCGAGAATTTTGTATGGAGTGACGACGGAACTAAGCAAAGTACGAATGGTGAAGAAAAAGAATTACAGAACGATTCAAAATTTCAAAAGTAAGTGGCCAGGAATCAGAGAAAATAAGACGGTGAAAGAGGTAGCATCGTCACGTCGCCGTCGTACCCCCCATGGAAGAATGGCATAAGTGGAGTTACGTCAAAAACGTTTATTGCTCCATTAGACACAGAAAAAATATAACACACGTCCTCTCCAATTCTTGTAATTGTATCGACTAATATTGTAGATAGTGGAAAGGCCGGGCGGAGAGGGGTAACGATGAATGTGGAATTTTTGTACGGATTTATTACCTTCCTATAATTGCTTTTGAAAAATGTATGTTAAAACTATTGCGACGTGCGGGCTGGGCCGCGGTTCGAGGAGCTAGTGGCGTGCGCCGGAGGGTGCTGCGCTAGCGCTTGCGCGGCACCGGCCGTGGCGGGCAACCCGCCGGGTGAGGATGCGGGGCGATGGCGCGCTGGGCGCTCTCAGTGTTGCCGCGTTAACAGACAGAGTTACAAGAATTGGAGAACCCTCTCCACCCAAACCCACCCGGGTTTATTTTTCTGGATATAAAGGAAAAATGAACATGTTTGACGTAATTCCACTTACGCTATTCTTCCATGAGGGATGCGACATTGTTATTGTATTTTTTGCAGGAGCGATGAGCACTGTGACAAAAGCAATTATCATAGTGGTAGCAGTGATCGGTCTACTTCTATTAATTGCACTATTTTTCTGCTATTTCTTCTGCTTATCGGTTTTACAAACAATTTTCTGTTCTTGTTGCCCTTGCTCGGAATGTTTTGACGTTAAAGGTAAGTTTAATTAATAAAGGCTGATTTTTTTATACATATTGTGTGGTTCACTGCACAAAAGTGGTGTAACCAGGAATCAATTTCTTTTTACAATATTACTTTAAATGATACTAAACTACATCATAATTTTACATTTCGATGCTGTAGGGTCCAGCTGACCCTGTAAGTGTCAGTGAAGCGAGAGTCAGCAATTTTGAGTATGAGCGAGACAGTGTGAATACGATCGTGTGGCAGTTACTGATAGCCACCGGTCAAGTGTGTTTGTGTCATTTTGGGGCTTATTATAAATAAATTACGCATGGTGAAATTGCGTGTTTTTCAGTAACTCCCAATGCAGGCGCATAAATCATGTGACCCCGATGTGACTTGATAGGTGCCATAGACTGAGAGACAGTCTCTCTCTCTCTCTCGTCGTCTGTTAGACAGGTTTGTCTGGAGGACTTACCTAGAGAGTAATCTTTCCTGTTTTTTTTCCTAATGAATAGATAACAACAATTTGATTTGTTACGAATTCCGCATTAAGCATAGATAATACTAAACTTTGTGTGTTGATATTTTTCCTATATTTTTTATGAAATAACTGCAGTACTTTCTTATAATTATTATTACAAAGAAATTTTCTTCGACCTGACAGGACTTGAATCTGCGACCTTAGCGTCGCTCCGTCGGCCGAGCCACATACAGGTCGAGTTAGCAGATCGACGAAATTCTTCTATGTGACCGTTATAAGTCTTTGTATTGGTTTTATGTGAGAGATTTATGAATTATTTTTATTATTATTTTCTCTGTGTTTTAGATGACGAACCTTAAAAGCCCCAAGGGACTGCCAACCTAGGGTTGTGCGATTGTTTAAGGTTGTCAACTTGGGACAACTTTGGATACTCAGAAATTAGATGACTAGATAACTGATGCTGTTGTTATTACCGAACGCTTTCTTTTAATCTAAAGGTGAGGAAAAATGGAGGTAAATTATTTTCTTCTTCTGCGAACCCAGTGAAGGTTAAACCGTACCATATACATAATACCTGCGCTTGTGTTGAATATATTTTTTCGGGCTTAAAGCGAAGTATTTGAACGCAAGCATAGATTTTAGGGATCGGTCCCACAATGACTAGATGTGAGGTGTGGGGCGCCGTTACTCGCGTCCCGCAGTCTGCGCGCATAAAACTAATATGAATACAATAAAAACAGGCGGAGAAAATTTGACACAGATCCGACGTTGACAAGCGCCCGATGGCGACAGACGGAGCAGTGTGGACGGCGCGGCGTGTCGTTACACCTGTGGGCAATTTCTAGTTTTGGGATCAATGTGAATACTCGTATAATAACTATAGGGCTTCACTTGAAAACCAAAATTTAGCAATTAATAAAATCAGGCATTACTTTGCGGAAGTCCATGTTAATAAAAATGGAAGTAAAAAGAGTAGCAAATTAATTAACTTACATTTTTATTAAAATCTCTGTAGTATTTAAAGAGAAATATCTGTATATAAAAATTACGTGCAAAGTTTGATATTTTATTCATAAATAATTCATTCCAGACTTTTAGCCTGTTTTTAGGATTTTATACGATCAAGTAAAGTACATCCAATCGTCTAACGAATTAGCACATTCTTAAGACTATATCCATAGGTGTATCGTATATTTTTTATAAGACCTTTAATTTATAGTGAAATCTAAACCGTTGGTCTAGCAAAACAGTTTTTCCCGCTTCTCTTCCGATAACCGCCTTAATTTTCCTATTCCCCCCGAATAAAATTAATAAAATATAGAACGAAAACGCAACTACAATCGCTGTCGCCACAAACACCATCATCAAATACACGCTCGGCACGTATTCCGCCTCTCGCCGTACCATCAGATGTAGATTGTTCGATACTCGGCTAACTAATTTACGATGAATATTATCTGGATTTTTAAACTTTTAATACCAGTTACAGGGACAGGGTACAGAAGAAGGTTATCTAACACTCTGACAGAGAACCAAGGTCGTCAACATAGCTGGTAGAATAAGCAAGTTGAAGTGACAGTGGGCTGGCCATTTCGACGTAGAATCGACAACCGATGGGGGAAGCGAGTCCTTGAGTGAAGACTACGGCTCGGCAAATATGGTGTAGGAAATCCTCTGGCTAGATGGAATGACGATTTGCGAAAGGCTGCTGGCAGCAGATGGATGCCATGAGCTGAGGACCGGGTGTAATGGCGCGCATTGGGAGAGGCCTACGTCCAGTCGTGGACTGACTGATGATGATTATGCTGATGGAGGGTAGTAACATTAACTGCGTGAAAAAATGTTCAACATTAGTCTTTCCACCAAAGATGTGCGAGGTAGCGAGGCGGTGCGAGGATGTGTCGCGGCGCTGTGAAACGGTGTGATGTTTTCCACCAAAGCTGTGCGAGGATGCGTTACGAACTCTTTTCAGCTATGCGCGGGCGGGGTACGGTGTGGTGGGGTGAGCGGTGGCGATATGTCAGGTGTCATGCTTTCAGTAGCTTTAGTTTCTTACACCGTTTTGCATACATTCGTCGTCCGCATGACTCGCACACATCTCTGGCTTTTTTGTACGTAGGTACAAATACTTTGGCCCCCCTCTAACCCTTTTCCTTCGGTGCTGCGTTAAGCGAAGCTAGGACAATAAAGTAATCCCATTGGTGGATTTTTTTCTCGCACACTGCCTCGCTACGTCGCACATCTCTGGCCGCAAATTCAAATAATTGCGCGCAAACGTGTGTCTTCCATTGGATACATCCAACACATGACATAACGTACGCGCAAACCTTGAACGTCCCGCCGAACGCCCCGCAGATGCGAAATATGGCCTTAGGGTAAGGTTACCTAGTCTCATAATTATTAATCTTTCCATATTGAGTAGACTGAGCTTCCATGATGATCCACGGCATTGTATGACACAAACACCCCGTGCAAATGCTTCGAAACAACTGAATAAAATACGTTCTTTTGGTGCCCCAAACGAAATTCAGTCGTAAGCTACGAGAGTCAATAAACGCGACTCACAACTCACAAATTACGCTCGTCTGACTTCACCCTTTACCTTCTCTGGATTCGCGGAGTATACCTATCTTATCAATTTCTATTGATTTGGATTTCCATAAAGTAATAAGTACCTGAATCTATAAATTATTTGATTATTTGTAATAATGCAAGTATGATACTCCATACGAATGTAGCAGCCAGTTCAGTAACTTGAAGGCATCTTCCAATGCAGTGGTGAACAGTTTCGGAGAAATGACGTCTCCCTGTCGCACTCCCCTTTGCAATTGGATAGGCTTTGTGCACTGGTCCTGGAATCGATTGACATAGTGGCTTTTCTGTACAAACACTTCAACACTTCGATATATCGATAGTCAATGTGGCAACGTTGTAGAGACTGTAGCAACGCCCAAATCTCGATCGAATCAAAGGCTTTCTCATGGTCCACAAAAGCTCTATAAGCTATGGTAAAAATGTATATGGTAGTGTTTTTCTTATAAAATACATATTTCGCTATCTATTTGTTTTTTTTTTCTTTTAGCATGTACCGTGGAACTCATGATACTACAAAACGTAAAAGTGTATACGAAAAAAGTTTTGTGGTATCGGATACGATTTCAGACCGGCAGATCAACGAACGGTGTCTATAAGTCAAGTATGGTAACTGATCTACTCCCGCCGCGTGCCTTGTACGGTCTAGGGATGCGGCAGACATCTGCATCCGCAACTGCAACCGCGGATCATACGCATATTTTTAAGTATCTGCTTCCGCATTCGACATCCGAATCAATCGATGCTGAGATTTTGCGGATGCGGAAGTTTTGCAGGTTACGATAAGATCCCAAAGCTTCAGTCCCTACTCAAATCGCGTGCCGAGTACCAGTGCTAATTAGCCCACCAGGGATCGAGAATTTGTCAGCGTGTAGTGTATAGTTTACTTTTTAAACAGAAATTGTTGAGTTGAAAATGAGTTTACATTTTCAAGATAGCCCAGCTCTATTGTACGAAGGACGGCCTATAACATCTTTAAAAACTTTAAGTTTTAACAATCAATGTCATAATATTTCTAAGCCTTCTGCTTTTCATGTGCTTTGTAATTAAATTACCTGGAATTATTATTTTTCATTTAAATTCATGATAATTCAACGATCACCAAATCCACATTTCGACCCCTCCGACGTAAAGTATTGTATGTCGAAATTGCCAAGTTTACAGAGGAGCCTTTTAAATATTCTGAATTCACTGAAATAAGCACAACACGTGACTTTAGCATTGTTAGCATTTGTTTGTGTTTGTATGTTGTTGCTTTAGCAAAGCTCGTTACTCACATAGAGTATTATAAAATCCTAGATATCGGTTAGATGATGTATTAGATGATCACTCTATTTGAGTAACGAGCTTTGCCGAATAAAATGGAGAACTTTAAAATGCCTCCCTCTAAACTTGGCAATTTCGACATACGATACTTTACGTAGGAGGGGTCGATTTATTCTGAAAAAAAAATGCAATGTGTACATATCAACGACGAAAAATTCGACTCCGCGTCCTCATCTGCAGATGTCGTCATAACCCACATCTTCCCTGAGGGTCTACTCTCGTTCTCAGTCTGAAACAATTACTGTCAAATAAGTAATACTCTATCTATAACAAAGGACAATGTCATGTACGAAGTTTCATTCGCATCAAGCGTATTTTAATTTGGTCGAATATTACTTATTTGACAGTAATTGTATGAGACGAATGTCAGCCGGAAAACGAGTGACAGGGCCAGGACGCCGATTCAGAACTCTTGGATATTTTAACCGAATTATTCGATTGGATATTGTTCTTGAATCGAAGGGCGCTTTCCGAGCTATTCAGAACATTCGAGTTAAACGTTCGATTCGGATAAGGATACGATATCGTTGTCCAACAGCGTTTACAGAGTTAGTCGGTCAATATAGATAATAAGAAAAATTTTATCTTTTTATATACATTTTTAAGGCCTAAAATATAGGAATGATATTAGTCTTGCATTAAAATAAATTAATATAATTGAACAACATCCAGACTTTATTTTTAAAAAGTAAAAGATTTCCATATTGCATTCATGCTTTGTAAACAACAGGACGTTCGGTAACTTTCGCTCGATAACTGTGTTCCGAATAAAACGTTTGTGGCCTTTGCCGGTCGGAAAGTTCGAGTGTGATGTCATTTCGGTTCGGTTTCGAATACGACGGTTTGACGTTCGATTCGGGTGTTGTGAATAAAAATGAAAAGAAATCGTACGATACCAAATTGAATCAGTCGACAACTGAGTTATAATAGGGTTCTGAATCGACCCCATGGTACGGACGCACAGATTCGCAGTAATGAAAGGCGCGTTGTATGGAGTTAACATACTTGTTTTATTATACTGTGTCATCACAATTTACAGTCTATCTATATATAATTTATAGTCATATGTAAGGTATCAATCCTGTGTTTAAGAAATACTATCTACTAAGACTGTTTTTGCCAGAACGACTGCATCAAGTTGATGGACTGCATGACATGCAGTGCTTGATTTTTCGGCAAATCGTTGTTGTAATCGGTGTCCATTTTAAATTAGTAAAATTCAAATTACATTCGTTTTTTCTAGTATTCTTTTTCCATACATCGTCTCTTTTTAACCGACCTCAAAAGGTTCTCAATTTGACTGTTTTTTGTGTATGTATCTTATGCGATTACTCCGAAATCAGGGACCTGATTTCGACGATTCTTTTTTGTTGGAAAGGGGGTAGTGGGGGTAGCTTAGTAGTGGTCCCACTCAAATTTGAAGAAAATGTTCCACCTCTGAGTGGTAAATTAGGGCATGAATCCAGTTTATTAGATCTAATTCATTTTCCGTTAACCGATTTCAATAAAACTTGGCAATCAGATGTACAAATTTTTGAGGTCGGTTTTTTTTTATAAAATATTTTAGCACGTGTATTATTCTTACAAAAGACATTATACTTAAAAAGATCGCACAAATGGACATCATTTCGCACCCCTCATGGAAGAATTACATAAGTGGAGTTACGTCAAAAACGTTTATTGCTCCATTAGATACAGTAAAATATAACCCACATCCTCTCCAATTCGTGTAATACTACGACTAATATTGCAGATCTTGTCTATCGACTAATATTGTAGATCTTATCTGTAGACTAATATTGTAGATCTTATCTATCTACTTGGAATTGGAGAGGATATGTGTTATATTTTTCTGTATCTAATGGAGTAATAAACATTTTTGACGTTAATCCACTTATGCCATTTTTCCATGAGGGGTGCGATTTTGACAGTATAAAGTTTTGACCTTGCAAGTTACGACGATCAAGTCCATTCTATTTATAATTTACTAAGGGACGACATAGACCAGGAAGATTATTTATAATTTCTATTAATGACGGCATAATATTGTGATATTAATATAAATGGAATTAAGTAATATAGAAACGTCAGAATGTATTATTTATATTCTGATGTAGCAATGTTGTAAAATTAAATAAAGATTTTTTTTAGGTTGATATGAATTTTCATTTATTTGTTTATACAAAACACACACAAAACTGACTGAGACTATTATATTATATATGACTGTGACTATTATATTATATTATATAAGAGGTTGGAGTACACTGTTGTATCACATACAAATGAAAATACACATCGAATGTTGAAATTGATATCATCATTAAATGAAAAGAATGGCCTTTTGGGGAATGGCCTTAAAATTTACTGAGATTAAACTTATTTATTACATTTTATAAAACGAGAGTTTCGTTTTCGTTTGTTGTTTTTACATTCGTTCATAATACATAGAAATAGATCGATCATACTTAAATTATGTGCACACGATTAATTCGATCATAGACGAGTAAGAATGCCATGGAAATTTTTATATCTTAAAATGCGTAATAACTATATATTTTTTATAACAATATATTTCTGCCGCCAAGCAGTAATGTATGTAGTAAAAGAAATTACAGGCACAATGTAGGCAGGATACAATGTAGATATAGTTTGTAAACAATGTTTGTGGATCTATAAACTGATTTTACTGCCTCGGTGGCCGAACGGTACGGAACGGTCTACCACACAGCGGTCCCAGGTTCGATTCCCGGGCTGGGAGAAATATTTGTAAGGCCTACATTTATTTCTCTCATGAGTTTGGGTGTAATTTGTGGTTGTCTATGTTCATGGCACCCGCGATGCAGGGTGTCCCCAGTGCGGGGTCATGTCGAGTGTATGCGTTATTATTATTATAAAAAAAAGATTATCTCCTACATCGCCTGCATTTTTGTTATTACATTATCTGATAGATGAGCTAGTAGCAGTAGAGGTCCTTGTGAAAGAGTTCGTCCAGGGAAACACTGTCACCTTACCATTTCTGTCGCCAAGCGGTAATGTGAGCTTTACTGCGTTAAGGGTGCTGCTGAAATTACAGACACATGGCGACTTGTCAACTTATGTCTCGTGGCGGTGCCTCCAAGATCTTTGCGATTTAAGCCTCTGAGGAGCACTGCAACTGTTATGGATAGCTTCTCGACGCACAACTTGTTTTTCACGTTACTTGGTGTTATATATATTAAAAAAAGATACTGTCTTAGTGGCCGAACGGTTACCATACTGCGCTGCCATGCAGACGTCCCGGATTCGATTCCCAGGCGCGGAGAAGTATATGTGTGACACATTTATTTCTCTCGTGAGTTTGAGTATATTTTTTGTGGTTGTTTATGTGTGTGTCTTCCTAATGCGGGGCTATGAGTGTTCGCGTTAAAAAAATGAATAACCTTTATTGTAAGTTGTGTTTATACATTAATTATATTAATGGCTTGATCTTTCCTGTAAAATATTTTTAATACGTTTTTGATTTGCACGCGTTTTTTATCAGTTATTTTATCTGCTAGGATTTTTGGTAAGTTATTTAATGTGTCACGAAAACAGGATTCAAAATAACTGACAAGATGTTTCCGTTATAATCGTTTTCTCTCCGAAACAAAGTTATGATTTAACATAGTTAATTTGTAATTCATTTAATAATAACAATAATAATTAAACAATATTAACATTACATGCATTTTCAGATAAGATAGGTAAGTACCTACATACAAAATAAAAGTAGGTAACATAATCTTACAGTAGGTACCGGCACGCTATCATCACTACAATATACATCAATTATCTCCTTCAACGTAGTTATGAATTAATACGAAACTTGATGAGCGGACAAACGTCAAAACGCCCATCAAAGCGTGCGTACTATAGTGTCGTAATTTTTCCAATAGGTACGTACCAGGTTGTAAATATAGCACATCGGGAAAATTATAAGAAACTTTATTAGTCAAAATAATTGAAATAACGTTTTCATAAAAGTTTCTTATTTCGTTATCATAAATACACTTACAGGATGGAAATAAAAGTAAATACATCAGTGAATAACTCGATAACATATAGATACGACAACAGCGTTCGAATATATTCGTGGATTTCAAGTTTTCCCAATGTTCAGTATATGGGATCTGATATACTGTATATTCAAATTGGTGCAGCAGTATACGAGTGAAAACATGACAGACAGACAGTTAGTGTCGCATTTATAATATTATTTTGAATTGCAGGATAGTGTCACTTTTCGTATAATTTAAATACTTTTTCTTTGTTGTTCAAAGGTAAAGGACAACAGCAGAGCGTAGGTGTCCTTTGTCTCAAATAGTTTATCTGATCAAAACTTCGTGTGGATGGCCGCATTCGACGACGCGCGAAATTGGACACCAATGAGGACGCGTCTATACACGTAGCCCTATTCGGTAAGAATGGCTACAGGAAAAAAACTAAGTCAGATCTTTGTTCTTTTAACGACTTTTATGCCGTAGCACTATCTGTGAGAAATCTTACAGATGCATGGTGTTGAGGGCGCTGGTTTTAGTCCAGCCGGACCGAAAACGAATTATTTTTAGTGTTAGATCTTTGTATTAACAATTATATCAAACTATATTCCGTCCAGCCATTTATTCATCTTTTGACAGATCGAATTCTAATCAGTTCACTAACTGATTAGAATTCGATCTGTAAAAAATCGAATCAGAGCCGCATTAGGACATCACTATGTCCTAATGCGGCTCTGATTCGATTTTTTATAACACTCGA